ATGTAGGAAACAGGTTTCTTGCAGCTCCTCTGGCTACTGTTTCATCTTTGGTGAACACATAAGTGAGCCACTTTTTCTTCTGCTCCTACCAATCAAATCTTTTAGGGATTTCTCTTGTCTACAAAGCACCACTACACAGCCCTTGGTGCTTTCCATTATTCATGGGATTCTTACACGGTTGAGAGAGCCCCTTTCCTCTCTCCTAGAAAAGCAGACCTGCACCAGCAATGTCAGAGTTTGAATTAGAGAAATAAAAAACATGAAATTTCTCATTAAACTTGGCAAGAGTGGAAGTGAAATAAAGGCATGTTAGTCCAAGTTTACGGGGATAGCATGAAGAAAACAGTAGTGTACAAATGGATTAAATGCTTTTCTGAGGGGAGGGAAAGTGTCACTGATGAAGAAAGGTCAGGGTGGCCAGTAATGAGCAGAAATGATGAATATATTGCACAAGTTCATCAAATTTTGCATCAAAATTATTAGCTGACTGTGAGAAGCACAGCAGACCAAGTAAATATTGATGGAGAAACAGGAAAATCTTAACTGAAAATCTCAGCATGAGAAAGGTGTGTGCAAAAATGGCCCCGGAGGAGCTCACTGAAGAACAAAAGCAAAGGAAAGTTGAAGTTTTCCAAAACTTTTTGGAGAGGCAGGACATTGTTTGGGGCTGTGTTATCATTAGTGATGAATCATGGATGTAGTGATATGACCCCGAAACAAAGCATCGAAGTGCACGATGAACGTCAGCCAACTTTTCATGAACAAGATGTTCTGTCAGTCCAAACCAAGAAGCAAAATGATGTTGCTAGCCTTTTTTAATAGCATAGAATTGTTCATTATGTATTTGTACTAACTGGGAAAACAGTTAACCAAGTTTACTATTTGGAAGTACTAAAAAGGCTGCATGAAAAATTTAGACAAAGATGACCTGAACTTTCTGCCATCAACTCATGGCTCTTGCATCATGACAGTGCACCAGCCTCACACAGCACTGTCTGTGAGGGAGTTTTTAGCCAGTGAACAAATAACTGTATTGGAACACCCTCCCTACTCACCTGCTCTGGTCTCCAGTGACTTTTTTCTTTATCTCAAGATAAAGCAAATATTGAAAGGAAGACATTCTGTGATATGTAGGGTAATGCAGTGATAGCTCTGATGGTCATTCCAGAAAGAGTTCCAAAATTGCTTTAAAGGATGGACTAGGTGCTGGTATCAGTGCACGGCTTTCCAAGCGGAGTACTTCAAAGGTGACTAGAGAGATATCAGCAATGAGGTATAGAGCATTTTTTCTAGGATGAGCTCACAAACGTAATTGTCAGACCTCACATACGCATAGACCTGGGTTTCTGT